TGTTTTACAACGTTGCAGAGGTCACAAGTTTAATGAATGGAGTTCGGAAAGGCATTAGGCAAAGTTCATGGAGAACTGCTTCTGTGTAATTTTGTATAACCCCCGATTTGTTTTCCTTCAGCAAAAGAAACTCTTCAACCAGTGATCTGCAAGGTAGAAAAAAAAAAAAAAAAAAGGTAAAAAAAGAATACCCTTTTTTTGGTACAAGAATAAATACCCTTGGTTTGGGTACATTGGGTAAGGGTGCAGGTCAGTGCTTTTCTCCTCCAGTCTCACGTTCAAAGTTGTGCTTCCAGTTGCACTGCGAGTTTTAAAAAGTCTCCAATTTTTCAGCAGAAGTCTGTGCCATGACCTACTTTGTTTTTATCCGAATCCTGATTATACTGCGGTCTGGAAACCACAATGGAACATATATCCTCCCCCGTTCTCCCACTTCAGATGCCTAAGACATAAAATCCAGCCCCCAAAATCATTTGCTACAGCAACTGAGTACTAGAACAATGCTATCACTTGTTTTATGGAACTTGTATGCCAATCTAATCTTGCACAGCGCAATATAAACCATGACATTTTTACACTAACTACAAACTGGCTACTTCTACAACTAATATATTGTTGAAAAGGGGAAAGAAACAGTACGAAGAATTTACCTCGCATAAGGGATTAATTATGTCAGAGGAATTGTGGATAGGCTCTCTCGCTCACCCACACAGCACAATCTACATGCAGAAAAAATGCATAATATATTTTTGCAGCGCACTTCCCTGTACAGACCACTTCTGGCACTTAAGGGCTGGAACAACTCTAGATGTGGAAACCTCTTAAAACTACACAAAGTATTTAAACTAATATCTTATCTGTCCCCAAGATGTCAGGCAAAATAATATCAGACATTACAGTGAAAATCTTATTGCATGACAACAGCCACCCACCCCCTTCTAATGGCAAGTTATCTCCATCTCTGGATCCATTTGGTCCCACTACAGCCTTTTTTACACAGTTAGCTAAATTAAACAGTCAACCCTGAATCCAAGAATTAAACAATTTCACCCTGACAAAAAAAATAAAGGTAACGTGGAAGAGAGGCATTATAATTTGCATTTAAAAGAATGGCAAGACAAACCAAATCAACCACAAAGGCACAACGTTAGGGAAATTTCTTAAAGCCAAGCAACCAAAAATTAACTTCCGTCTTTCTTTTCATCTTTATGTTTTGCCTTATTTACAGCAGTTCAACAACCCTACGGCCATATCACTACCTGCGGCACCATTAGCTTTTCAGACACTCTTCCAGCCAAGTATATGAAGTCCACATCACCCACGCAGGAGCAGCGCAGCCAACAAGCATTTTCAAAGTCCCGTGATGGCTGTCATAAACAAATCAAAGAATGTTGAGCCACATGGACCTCAGTACCATAAAGTTCGTAGGAAACCCAAGGGAGAAAGAAGGGAAGAGCAGACCTCACAAGAGGCCAGCCCGATAAATAAGCAAGGCTAGATTTAGAGTGTGCTGAGACTTGAACTTAAGGCCAAGGCTTGGTCTAGCCAGCCTCCTACAGTGCCCTGGGGTGGTTCAGCTGGAAGGCAGCAGCCCACGTGAATGCTTTCTCTGGATGGGACCACAGCCTGACCGAGCATCCTCTTCCCTTCCCTTCCCTTCCCAGCTCCCAGCTGTGGGAACCACCGACAGCAACAGTGCTAGCCACTGCCCCAGTCTCCTTCTTGGAGCTCTCCTCCTGCCCACCATCCCTGGGGGTGGTATCCAAAGAAGCCTGTGAAGTTGCTGTTGATGTTTACAAGAGCAAAAGATTTCCTCCAGCCAGGTTTCAACGTTCCTTACCTACCACCTCTTCAAAGGCTTTCACCACAACTTCTTAAGTAGCATAACTTCCCACACACACATCAAGAAATCCCCTACCTGAAGAACGAGTTTTAAATCTCTCAGTGTTGAGCACGTACAAGAATGCAAATCAGACTGCTGCCTTAAGTCTTGAGGGAATAAGCCACGAGAAATACTAAAGAGGTCTTCCAGAAAGTACTGAAAAAAAAAGTACCGTCATTACTCTGATATCACAGTCTGAGCGGGGTCCTAAATTCCAAGTTCCTAAAGTAATATGTAGTGTGGAAAAATACATGGAGGTGAACAACAGAAGCACACGAACACTGCATTAAGAATGAACAAGAGTGCAAAATTGTCCAGAAGTTCTCAGTCCATAAAACCAGGTATCTTCCAAGGATTTTCACTGTATTTTAAGCAGGATTGCAATCTGAACAGTTGAGAGGTATTAACACAAACACAAGGCATCAGCTAGGTTTTGCCTTTCAAATCCTCTTTCGCCTTTGTAAGAGAGTCTGAACTTGAGCATACATGAAGAGCGACAGGAATCCATGCCCTAAGGAACTAGCCAAAACAGGAAAGAAAAGAGAAAGTATGACACCCATGAGACAGCACAGAAATCAGTATTAGAAAGAAACGAGAGTTGAGGGTTCACTGCAGTGATGAAGGTTTGAAGGGTGACCCTGATGCTCTCGAGTTACTTCAGTGGGCGCATCTGCGTGATCACAAGACCAGACATAGAAGCTCCTCTTTAAGGAGCAGCATTTCCTCGTGTTTGCAGACAAAGCAGTAAAGTTGTGGCCCTTTAAAGGACATTAGGGGAAACAATTTTGCTAGGAACTGAGATTTCTGTTTGTGCACGTGTACAGAGATACGTACTGAGTATCAAAGAACAAATAATACAGGTCCCTGACGGTTTCAGGAAAATTCCCCTGTCCACACGTGAGTCAGGCTGTAAAGTTTTGACACTGATGAAGTCAGAGTTCTTCATTACCTCGTTCAGGCTTGATATTTATTTCTTCTATGTGGCTTTATCACATTTCCCTTGAAGTAAGGAGCTTTATTAAGAACTGGACTATGCCTGTGGTTACCTGGGGATAAAAAATAAAGCTCTCCAACCCAAAGGATTAACATGGAGTGCGTAAGTAGAAATTAGTGGAAACAAGTGAGTCAGAAAGCACTGGAGAACTCAATTTTTACATATCCAGGAGCTGTCTGAACACATGATTTCCCGATCCATTAGAAAAATGCCAGCATTTGGTTTTCCTCCAAGACAAAATTCCCCATAGAATATAAGTCTCTCGGAAGGGAAAAAGAAACACCAAACAATAAAACCCACAAACTCACCAAACACCCAACCACCCAAAAACAATTACAGTTGAGCAACTAGAAAATTCGTTTCAGCTCCACCTTCATCTCATATTATACATTCACAATGCTACATTATAGAAAATACTTGTGTATATTGGAAGTTTCAGAATGCAACAGACCTCTAGCTCTACTAAAAACCAAGATGACATTTTGCTTGTACTCATTACTTCAGTATGAATCAACGTTCAAGGTGTGCCCTATTCCAGGAGCTTCTACTTAATTTATTAAAATTAGATATGGATGTCTTGGCCAAAGCAGAACATAACACAAAGATAGGAAAGTACTGATCTTAATACCCCAAGGGCTTTGCTTTCATGTTTTGAAATAGAAAGAGCTATGCATGGAAGAAGAAAGTAACAGCCACATGGGTCAAGTGAACAGTGAACAAATGAGAATGCTTTAATACAGCTCTCCAAAGAAAAGCCACCAAAAACAGTCAGTCAGGAAAGCGGCCTCAATATAATGTACGACTGGCACAAGCTGCTCCATTTCTAAACTCAACTTACTCTCAATTGCCAAGTCAAGTATCTCTATCTCATAATAAAAAAAGATTCCAAATGGCAAAAGGGACTATCTCTTCCCTTAAATCTATGTAATTTTTGACTTAATGAACAAATACTTTGAGTTCTGAAGGAGTTTGAAATTCCCCAGGACCCTGCAAACATCCCCACTCTACAAATGTGAATCGGTTTAGGCTTGTAAAGCTCGTTATGCAAAACAGCAGTTCAGTGTGAGCCAGAAAGCCACATGAACAGGAGCAATCATTCACTTCTCGCTTAGGCAAGATGAAAAATCACGATCAAACTGAGCCCTGTCCTTCTGTCAGCTTTAATTATCATACTAGAAATATCACACCCCCACTAACTTAGCCACTGTATAATTGTTACCCATTAATTACATAAATATTGGTAGATCTGGTCTCAGAAAATGGGGGTTGTTCAAAAATACTTTTACAACAAGTAGAAACAATTTACACAACTTCCGTCTGTAAAGCATTTTTCTTTTCATTCCCATTTGAAACATAAAAACACATAAAAGCACCATCACGCTGCATGCGTTGATCCTTCTTCTCACCAACACACACGCGCCCCATATCATCGACGTTACTCACCAGCTCATGTCCAGAGTTACTAAGATCCAAGCCTGACAGCATTTCGACATTTATGCTGCTGCTTTTATAAAGATAAAGGAGCTCTTCTCCTCCCCTAGAGGCTGGCATTCAAGGAAGGCAAATATACTCAGGACATTTGTTTCAAGTGCTACAAAAATATTCCCATAAAAAAAAAAAACAAAAAAAAAAAAAAAAAAAAAAAAATCACAATATTCAAATGGAGGCAAGCCCCAGGCTCGAAGGAACCAGCGATGTGTTTGAACTGTCTGCCACCGATGAGAAAGCCTTGCGAACCGTAAACAGTGAAACAGAAGATGCTTTCTAATACATTTAACTCCACGACATTCGAATAAGAGGCAGATCTCAAGAGTTCAGTGCGCTGTTATACAGGAGGAACGTAAAGTTATTTTCCTGATCCGGGAGTGTCATTACATTTTGTCACTATAATCTAGTCCCCGCTGAATTCATATACAAAAAATCTTACACAACCTACTAGCAGATTATAGAATAGAATTCTACCAAATATTAAAATATTCAATTGAATAGATCTGATTTTGCCTGAACAGCCTGATAAGTTACTTGAGAAAAATCCAACTAGTTATCTAACTGGAGTCACAGAAAAGTTTTGATGCATCTGGAACTACTGCCTTGGCACTATAATCCCAAATTTATGAGCTATGGTACCACAGTATGGCTTTTTATCCTGAGAGATTAAGCTGCACCCTTCTGTGTAAATAAAAATATTAAAGAGAAGGGTTTTTTTAGAAGTCTACTAAACTACCGTCAGTGAGCCAGCAGTGTCTGGGATAAAACATATCCCAAGGTATATGTAAACCGTGTTATTAGGGAACCTAAATTTTAATAGGAATCAAAAATGAGGAAAAACACAGAGCGATGAATAACTGAAGGGCCGTTTGAAAGGACTAGTTCTTAAACACAATTTTAAAAAAGAGCATAAGTCTTATCTTTTATCTTTGGAGGACAACCACTTGTCCCCTGCAAACTTATGCAGGAATATTTAACAGGTATTAATACATTCTTCGTGGAATAAGAGGAGAATCTACGATAGTATTCAGGAAAAACCGGATGAGATTATTAGCATTACCAAGCATCAAGGCCTGTTACTGGGGATTCTGTCTCCAATGTAACATGCAAGGGAAAAAATAAAACTCGTCCTTTATTTCCATTCCTTTACGTAGCAAAACCAACATCCTTTCAGGCATCTAAATTAGCTGTTAACATTCTGCCAAGAGAAGACGACTGGAAGGCCAATCCACACCAGCAACTACGGAAAACCAGTGCACTCTTAACTTCCCCTGCTTTAGTTAAGGGCAGTAAATTCACAAATCAAGTATTTCTACCCCTACTACATTTCACAAAAGAGACAGACATGGAAACAGATATGGAAAGTAGGACAAAGGTGGAAAAAGAGTAAGTTTTTAAACAGCATAAAGACAAACTACAGAAGAAAAAAAATAACCACCACGCCCTGTATCCCATATGAGGTTTTGGTCTTTGTGCTTCTTCTAATACAAAGGCAGCATATGAATTCAATTTTTTGAGCTGTAATCACCACCAGTGTGGCTGGGAAAGGAATCAATTCGGAACCTTTACAAACAAAAAGAATCACTAGAAAGCATCTGAAATAAAAGAAAAAGGGGGCGTTTACTTACTCGAAATGGAAATTCCATTATACGTATAGAAGTCCATTTAATGAAAAAAAAAAGCTATATCCAGATTTCTTTTAGCCTACTTTTTTCCCCTCCCCTTTAAATGCAATAACTAAACTAAAAATAACAGACACACAATAAATAAGGTTTGCAGGACACATTTCAGCAGGGACCAACAAATATGGAGTACGTAAAAGATTTTGCCCTAAAATTCTAGCCATTTCACGTACCTTTTGAAAGATGAGCCTTCCCTTGAAAAGATTAACAGCTTTGCTAGTAGCAATGCACTCTCTACTTCTTTACAGATTCAAGCTTATTCCTAGTTTACAGCCTCATTTACGAAAGGAAAGTCACCTTAACAACCAGCTAAAACAAGTGACAGCTACTATTATTAATTTGCTTCTCCTCTTAACGGTTTTCATTAGTAAAAAGCACTCTTAGTTCTACTTCAGCTCTGTTTCCTTTTTTAATTTTTTGCTATATACACCCAGAGCGATTATAGCACAACCTGTTGAAGACAGCCCTGACCAGCTGGAGAACACCACCTTTCACACCCCCATCCTTTCCGAGAAAGATGTTCTCGAACACCTTTCCCTCCTCCTCAAACTTTAACTATCCCAATAGGTCAAGCAGTTTCAACCAACTCTTTAATCCCTGTTAAAACACCAATTGCATTAACATTCCAAAAGTGATACTTCGGCACAATTCACATAAAACAATTCTTCCAAAGAAGTTCACTTAAATGAGCCTTTTATTGTTAGGGCAAATAGCACACTGAGAAGTTACGCAAGCGTAATGTCAGCATGGCGTACTGCACATCACATGCCAAACTCCGTAAGACGTGGTTAACAATCTACAGGATCATCTGAGCTTTATCTGAAGATGACAGCTCGTTGCAATATGTTTTTCTTCAGCAAAAGGGCACACACAAAACCCCGTTTAATAAAAGCGGCAAAAAAGAAAATAATGGGATTTTTTGCTACAGGTTAGTTTTATTTCATACCCTCCAGAAAAGGTTACCTTTCTAGACATGTGCTGGTGGAAGCTCCAAAATAAACATGTAGTCACAACATTTTCCTGATGCGCTGAAGAACTGACTCAAAAGACATATAGCCTTAACTCACAGCACACCTTTAAAGAACCCACAGCTGAAAGAGGGGTAAAAAATTGCTATGCTTTTTCGACAGTTAGCAGTGTGACAGTTTATAGAGAAATGTGCTTTTAAGTAAAAGCTTCACTTTCTAAAGACAGCTAAACTAAAAGCAGATGCTGAGCAGCTTACACTGGTGCCGATCAATCCATTGCTACGTCCTGCAGAGCATGCCAAGTCACAGAGATATCCAAAAAAGCTGATTACTGCAGATGAAACCTTCTCACGTGCACCTCAACTATAATAAACATCTCTCAGTCATCTTGTCAAATCCTGTGTTATCAGTCATGAACTATTTAAATATTCCCAGAAACCTTTTTAATCCAGCCCCGAAGAGTAGTTCATCAATTTTCATTCCGCAACTGGCAGTGAAGACTTCCATTACCGGTTCCCAAAGACAGACCTGTCGGACACACTCATGGGAAGGAGGAGATCAAGTTAAGAAGGAAAAAAAAGAGGAAAAAAAAAAAACACAAAAGGAAAGAAAAATTCACAGAGCAAGGCCAGAGATGAAGTGTAATCCTCATTTGAGTCTGATCTCCCAAGTAACAGAGATGATAGCATTTCGCTCAGCCCTCATCTTGTGACTGAGGAAGAATTTGCATTTCATAAAGCAACCAAAGAGAAGCTCAGCTTTCAAACTCTGAATTTTGATAGACTTCCACCTTCATTCTGTATCCTCTTCAAAAAAACCAAAAAGCCCACATCCCACTATACATCTTCCCCCTTGCCTCCCCCCCCCCAAAAAAAAAAAAAAAAAAATCCTTATCCTCTCTAAAAGGTATTTCTGTATGACAACCTCCTCCTTTTTAGCCCAGAGATATCAACATTATTTTTCATATTCATGCTCTCTGCCTCTGGCAGATTCCTCAAAACGATTAACCATACTTGTAGCTCTTTTCTCCAACCTTTCCATATTATTCTACAACTGAGACTGTAAAAGGGTCTCACCAAAGCTATAAGGTTGTGTAAAGTCCTCACTGCTTTCATCCCTCCCAACACTTGGTATACTTTACAGAACAGCTCGTAGGCTTTAGGACACCAGGAGGCACCAAGAATTCAGTTTGTCACCTACTACCAACTCAACGGACCTTGCAAAATACACGTTGTTGCCCAAATGAATCTAGCTTAACCTGTTACCAGCACACCACACCATTAGTCTCTCTTCATTTGCAGCCTTACACATTTGTTCAGTCTCCGTATTTCTAGCTGCAATCATCTTTTTATAAAGGAACTTATAAATTCAGTGTCTTTAGACTAAAGGCATATTCATGGTATCTATAGCCAGCAATGTCTTCACCAGACAGAGCTGCACAACTCCCATATAAAGGAGAAGAAATACTATCAGACAAGATCTCTAGTATCTACAAGATTTAGCCCATGAACTAGTTTCAGCTTTTCTGGGACAAAAAGAGTACCTGGGATCTATTCTGTTGCATCAATACAAAATTAGTTTTATTGCTGGCAAAAATAAATCAGAACTTACCATTAGAATAATGAAAGTAAGCCCAAGCTTCTAAACGCACAAGAATTTTCAATTCAAACCCAAAGTTCCCAAAGAAACACCAATTTTACTCCAATATGCTCTCTATCCAAAGTTTTAAATTTAATCACATTATGCCTAGTGACACAAAGCATTACATAGAAAAAAGCTCCTGACCTAGCATGTTTCTGCCAACAAAAACTTTGGCTAGACCTGCCAAAAACAAAACAAAACAAAACAAAAACAACCAAAAAAAACCCCAAACCCAAAACACTATCTGCAGCAAGATCCCATTGACACCTCTACAATCCTGAACAACATTTTCATTTAGTTAGATAAAACTTAGTTTTTCCAAACCACCCATTTTAGTTTGTCCTTTGATCTACTGTTTTGATTTTTAAGTGAAGGAAATAACCCCAGAAGCAATTCACATGTTTTTCAGCTGTCTGGAAGCCTAGTGCCTTGCAAAAGAAGAACAGAATTGACCTTAGCCCCACCAGCCCAGCAAGCATATTTTGAGTGCATCTGCAACACAAACTGAAAAAACACCACCAGTATTTATCTATTTCACTCTGAAACCCCACAGTTGTGTAGAAAGACGTTTCATGTAAACACTGAAGACTGGCAAAAGAAATGAGGGCATGCCAGATTTATGGGACATCATCATCCTGTCTATGAGAGAATGCTCCACCAGAACTCCAGCTGAGATCTAGCATCAACACCACCTCTACTGAAAAGA